TATTTTATGAGATTTCAGGTGTATTTTAGCAACTGGGGTTTCCCTGATGAATCATTAAAATAAGTGAGTGGGTTGAAGGTAATACTAACTTTTCTCGGTGCCGACCTATTTGACTCTGCTGGGTTATTGCTTGCTTTTTAAAATAGAATCTGAGTGTGTTGGAGTTGGTGGGTGGAAGTGCAGAAGAGAAGGGGTCAGTAAGAAAATACTAAGTAAACCTCTGATGACCTATTGGGAAATCCTACTCAAATTTTATTTCCCCTAATTTAAAGCATTGTTTTTTTACCCTGCCAACCATAACTTTCCAAATATTGTATATATAGGCATAGAAAATATATTGTCAACAACTGATTGACATTTGAGGTATCAAGCCATGTGGGGATTTGCCTGTGGACTCAATTTCTCATGTGTGTGGGATTAAAACTGTTAAAACCATCATCACCGAAACCATACCTTTCTATACATATAGCAGAAAGCTGTCTGTGGAACTTTCTAATACAATCTTATTTCAAATTATTACTGGTATTTGGTTGGAAAATTATTTGAGAAACTGAAAATTATTAGGTAACTGAATTCATAACATCTAAATAAAAAATGTAGTTCACCTTGAAAATGATTATGGTTTAGGGAATAAAGAAGTTGGGCCAAGTTTAAAATAAAATGCAGGTACAACAAAAAAGTTTTCATAAAGCTTAAAAAGAAATTAACTGTTGGTTTCAGTTGACTTTTGTTCTTCATGAGTTCATCAATGTGTTATTTGTTTTTAATTGTGGTGAATCAAATGATCCTTTTTCATACTGGTCCAGGTCCAACTGTTCACATGAATTACAATTATGATTTTTCACTTTACATACTGATAAACTACATGAGAATTTTTGAAAAGGCAGATAATTTTTGACCTTTGGTGATCTTAAATAGAATTTGAAGTGGTTTAAAATTCCCGTGTCATAGCTGTAACTTGATGTATTTTATATTGCCGATTTAATGTTTAGCATTTAACCATGTATCATTAAATCATAGTATTGATAATGAATTAAACTTTCATAAAGCTTTAATAGTGTAGTAGATTGTCATTTATCTGATGTCACTGGGGGATAAAACATGCTGAAGAAATGAGTATTTTTTTAAAACGGAACCTTACTTGTTTAAGTGGAAAAACTGAAAAGTTAGTCAAAATTTATCTGAAACATTTTATATGCTCTTTTAGGGAGCAAGAATAGATGGGTCATTTACTCTTAATGTCATAAAATATAATCATTCTAGTGTCATGCAGAAAGGACATGGACTTTCTGACTGGTGTTTGTTTTCTAACATGGGAAGTTTTCTTCTGTTGTTTTTTCCTTCTACAACGTCACAGACCTGACTGTGACATTTCATTCAGAGTCAGTGTTCCAGGGGTTAAGGTTCATGGGTACATGTACTAGCTGTAGCAGTCATAACTCAGGCACCTATGTGTGGTGTCGGACTATATGTAGGCTCCCTGCATTCATTTTCTGGCAAACCACTGCTCATAGCCTCCTGTCACAGAGAGACCCTGTCCCCTTGCTTTGGAATTAAATAATGTCTTTGTGGAGGTTCCGGTACTGTTACTTCAAGCACTTGCTCCATAGTAGCTACTGCTAACACGGCAAAAATGACTGCTCACCATATGCTCAGGAGCTTCGTGATGTCAGGGTGACCACCTGCAGTTTTATCGGCTCATTGCTAAAATGGGCAAATAGTGTACTTCCTGTATCTTTCAGCAAATTCCACCAGAACAGCAAAAATTCATTTTATCAGAGTGCTTTTCTTTGCCCAACCTTATACTTATTTGTTTCAAGCAGTGTTTTCTAAAGCAAAGCTCAAGCACAGCAAAAGTATTCAAATGGTTCTTTAATGTACTGTAATGACATTTGGTTTAAATCTTATATTTAAAAATTAGCTTCTCCCTTTTGCTTGCACCTAATGGGAATCATCTTTCTTCCAGGTTGTGCTTTGAGAAGGCTATAGGGAAGAATATATTTTCTTCTTGCCTCAAAGGTTGCAATAGAAGTAAGTGGGGAAACTGCCAGGATATGTCTGTCTCCACAAAACAAGCAGAACAAATTTCCATGAATCAAAGCCACTAAGTATAGTCTTCAGAGATGGTAGGACATAGTTACTCTCCCTAGAAAAATACCCCATATGTAGGCACACCCATTGGCCACCAGAAAAATGCTCAAGTAAACGCTAGTTCAAACCTGTACATTTCACTCTTCTTACTGAGTTATTAAAGGGGTGGAAATCTGCTATAGCTATAATCTCTTTTTCCCTTTTTCTATTTTTCGACCTCCCACATGCTTGGTATTCAGTTCTGCTGAGTGTCTTGAATCTACAGTAGCACCTACAAGAACTGCCTCCACAGTGGCTGATGGTTTTTAGATAACTTGTGATTCAGACCCATAAGAAACATCTGTAAATATGTGGCATGATAGGTGTGCTAGATTACTCTGGAAAAGGGCAGAGTAACAAAGAATTTGAAAACTTTTTAATTCTTAATAATGATGCTGCTTGCTTTGAGGTTACATGAGTGAGGTATTCTTCAGAGTGGTTTAGATCACATTGCATCATTTGTGGGAAGTATCTTGGGTCATTTTTACAAATACCGTTCAGAAAAATTTTAAGGATATTCTGGGCATACATACAGCATGATTAGGTTAAAGGAAATAAAGCAAGGTAGCAGCTCTCCGTGATGTGATCAAGTAAGCAAATTAATGTTAACTGTGCTTATTCTTTCTTGATGCTTTTCCAGAGTTGTCTTTTATTGGTTTCTCAGTTTCTTTTAGAATTTTCCATCATTTGTGGGATTAATAGCTACTATTTTGTTAAATTAGGATGGGGTTTGTTAACTCATTGAACCCTGTATTATTAGAGATGAAATATTTCAGCTGTCCTGAAAAAAAAAAAAAATCTCTGAGTAGCTCAAACTCTAAATTTAATTCTTACCCAGAAAAGCTGTGGTGTTCTCACTCATTTGAAAGGCAGGTTTTTGATGATGCATGGGTAAAACTTGCTGTACTTCACATACTTGTTATTCTTCCCCATATTTCACATACTTGTTATTCTTCCCCATTCCTATCTTTAGGGGCACATGGTGGTGTGACTTAAAATTACTGAGTTAAAGTACTGGAAGTTTGGACTTTTTCCTCCTTAAGTAACTGTGCTAATAAGGAGAGGGGCAAACTACCTTATTGCTATGTGTAGGCCACGTTTTTCCACTGTCTTATAACCCACCTTACAGGTTAGAACTGTCATTCCCATTTTATTTGATTTTTTAAAAAGATTATTTATGCATACAAGAACTGGGGTACAAGCCAGAGGTATGATGAGGTGACAGGATTTACCAGAGATAGAGTGGAGATAGAACAGGCAGGTAGACCAAAATACACTGCTGAAGGGATCATCAGGTGAGACAGGAGAGGTCTGCTGTGCCATGTGGGTCAGCTCCATGGCTGGGGATCAAACTGCAGATAGCTTCCCAGTGCTGAGTCTTAACCTTTTGTGCCACTAGGGAGACCTCTCTTACTCCCATTTTAGAGATGATGAGACGAAACCCTATAAATTCAGGTAATTTGTTCAAAGCTACATTATCTCGAAAGTTACAGAGTTGATCTTCAACTCTATCTCCTGGATTTTAGAACTCATACTGCTTCCACCTGAGGAACTCTTGTTTCTTTTTTGTCATTAAGTGAAATGTAATTCCGTATATTGCCCCAAAATACTGTTGATAGATTTATACATTAAGAAGTAGAAAAAATAGAAAGACTTTTTTTCCCACTTCTGCCTTTTCTTTGAGAACCGTTTGAGACTTCTTTAAAATGCAAGTAAGTGAGTATTACTTTGACTGAGCAAGGTGATGTACAGTTTTATTAGTAAAGAGTATCACTGAATTGTTGAGCCTCATAATTTTGTTGAACGACTTTATTAAGAAAAGCAATATCCTGTCAATGAGTGGTTACTTAAGTCAAAAAGGAACATTCAAACATAGAGTATCCTTTAAACGATATAGTATTCACATACAGTGATATTTCTTCTTTACTTCTTACAGGGAATAATATAACATTTAAAATGTATATAAAATTTTTCCTTGTGTATATTTCTTTGTCCACTGAGCACATTAGCAAATGTCATATTATTATTTCTTGATAGTCAGTTCTTTGTGATGAGAATTTATCATATCCCAAATAACAACATTAATGTTCCTTCTCCCTCTTAATGGGTGAGTTTTTAAAAGAAAGAGCTAGAACTGTTGTTGGTTCACAGGCATGTAGCATTACCTCATCATCTTGTTGTTCATTCAGGGGTGGGGCGTGGACAGTAATGGGGAATTGGTCAAGGTCTGAATTATTCAGATACTATACCCTATGATCTTAGCACCAAAGTGTTGATATTTGGATGTGAATGTCCTTCCCTCTACAGATGGATTCATTGGGGTCAGTGATAGCTGGTGAAATTTTAAGACAAAGTAATATGAGAGTTATAAAATCAGAAAAATTCAAATCTGGATAGGACTTACAAATGAGGGACTGCTTGAGTAGCTGTCCAAGAAATAGCTTTGGGCCAAATTGGTTCTAAGGTTCCTGAGACTGAGTCACAGACAATCCATTCAGAAAATGAGTGATCCCAGCAGGAGAGGGTATTAAGCTTCTTGTACCAGGAGAAACATCCAAGTCATTGTGGACATTATCTTAGGGCTTCAAGAAAATTGAAATCACAAAAATAATATGCTCTTAATTTCCTCTTATTAGCTAGATAGATGTAGAAATATTTATTAGCGTAACATAAGTCTTAAGTATTACATGCTTTTTTAAAAAAGTGGTAAAATGTGGGACAAGCTAGTGTTAATAAAATGTGTAAATTATTTTTTTTTGTTTTTTGAATATAATAATTTATTTTTAAAAGTTAAAAGGTTCTTTTACACACACACACACACATATACATATATTTTTTTTTTTTTTTTTTTTTTTTGCTATTGCCTGAAGGGTGAAGGTTTGAAAGAACCAATGAGTATCCTCGTCGTTGAGGCATTCTATGGAGGGTCCCATAAACAGCTGGCGGATCTGCTCCAAGAAGAATTAGAAGACTGTGTCCTTTATACGCTCCCTGCAAAGAAATGGCATTGGAGAGCACGTACATCGGCTTTATACTTCTCTCAGAATATTCCTGTCAGTGAGCATTACAGGTAATTAGAGTTAATTGGTAAGGCCACTGCTTCCTTATTGGCATATATGAGATTTTCTCCAGTTACGGAATTGGTCAGTATCATTTCAGTCAATACCCTTTCAGAGAGCACCGAGAAGAAAAGAACATTTATGTTCTGAGAACACTTGGTCATAGGGAAGTGGCTTCATTTAGAACCTACATGCCTTTTCTCATTTGTCCTGTGATTTTATCATATGCACATTTGTGTGTGTGGATGGCATTTTTTGACCTGAGATGAGAGAATGAATGTGAATTTTGGGCACATTGAGTTTTGTTTGTTTTATTCCATGACCTCTAATGCTTCTTTTGAGTATGCTGTTTTAGTTTAGCTTATTGTGTCTATTCTGTACCAGGAGTGAGGCTAGAAAAGATGCATATGACAAATTTCTGTACCCTTTTAGATTTAAAGTACTATTGAAGGAGATAGACATGCAAGTGTAATGAGAGAATGAAAAAAATGCCAAGTTCATTTTGAGAGAGGCAAACTGGGGTGGGGGTGGCTTGATTGGGTCGATAGTCTGTGCTTTTGGGGACTTACACTTCAATTATGAATTCTGGTTTGTTAGAAAGTGGGAACAAAATGGGGACACCAATTAGAAAGTCTTAATTTACACACTGAAAAGAGGGATGTGATATACTGGATTACATTTTAGGGAGAACAAATAGAATGGAATCTCTGTGAATATCTTTAACTCATTATTATCTATTCATACAGAATGCCATGCATTTCCTGATTGTTAAATTGTAGGAGATTATCCCACTTCAGCTATATATCTGATATTCTTGTCATTCTGGGCCCCTCTGTTTAGTGCTGGATGGGTTCAGGCAGGAGTGGGGAGTGCCAGGGTGATGCTTAGTGGAGCTGGAAGAGAGGGGTTATTATAACAATGGCACACTGAAAGCTGCAGTGACCCTTGTGACTTCAGCATGCCACTCAGGTCTCCCTATTGCCTGTATGGCATGATGGCCACAGGAAGACAGAAGTGCAAGCTTTGCGTGTGTATTGTTATTCTTAGTAGGAATTTGGGAGATTCAGCCAACAACCCATTTGGTGTTTGAAAGCCATGCATCATCTCTGGGAATTGAGACTATCAGGGGGAAAATCAGTAGCACTCAAAGCAGATTGCTTGGGATTTTAAAGGTAAAATGCTTTGGGACATATGAAGAGTTTGTGGTTTTCAAATCTAAAGCAGCATGTTTGTCCCTTCATAATTTAATGTTCCATACTCTGATACTAGGTGAATATTGTTGGTTCACTAATAGTATGAATAATTTAAATGAACATACCAGTATAAAAGTTTAAAGGCAGTGATGACTGTTGCTGTGCTAAAAATCTGTTTATACTTGCATTCACATCTCATTTAATTGTGTTTTTGCAGCACCAATTGTATTATATTACTTAAGGTCAAGTAATCTGGTTGACTTTATGGCACATTTTCATTTAACATTACCATTTGATACAATAAATTTGTACAGTGATTTAAACATTGAAATGAGCCATTTCTCTGCCATTAGATTTCATTTTGTCTATGCAGTTTTTCAGGATGAAATTATTGTATCACAAATACATGTATGTGGGTTGAATACAAACAACACTGTTGTACACATGGCTTCCCCACTCCCTTTAAGACTTGAAGCATTTGAGGATAAGCATCACACTGTTCTTTGATGCAGCCTTACTTGGGAGGTAGATTTCTGAACGATGTGATGTAGTTTTACACTTTGATAGTCATAATCTCCATGTCCTCAAGTGATATCTGTGGTTTTTTCAAGGTCAGACAGTTAAGTTATATAACCATTAGCCTAATCGAACTTCACATAAAGTTATACTTTGCCAGTTTAACTTACACATGCTTTTGACAATGATAACTTACCTTTTATATAGAAAACACTTGTGAAAACTTTGGGAAAAAATAGCAATTTGAAAACTTACAGTAAATTTTAAAAATATACTTATTTAATCTTAGATGGAAATGCAGGGATAACCTTTTCACATGCTAGGTAAATTTGATATCTGTAGAAATTTGTGATGAAATGAAAAGTTTGTCTTTTTATATATATATTGGCAAATGAAATCAATTTTCATAAAAATGAAATGATTAAGCACCAATTTTACATGATCTTCAAAATTAGGGATGTGTGTTGAGAAATAGCTTGATATACACTATTTTCTCATTTCTGTGTGTAGTCAGTGTTATAAATTTTATCCCATAGAATATTTTACTAATTAAAAAATAAAACAAATGCTTCCATCTAATTACTCAGTTTGATTCTGTTTTATCTTGACAGCTTTAAGAATACATCATGATTCTCTAGAGCTGTTCAGTTTATTATGGATTACAAAAGCACAAGTTATTTTTCTCAAAGTTAGTTGGCTATTCTTATAATTCTTAGATTATATTAAAGCATTATGTTTTTTGAAATTTTACAAAATGCAGAAATACAATTCTGAGGATGGGCCTAAAATTTCCTGTTTCGAAATATATGAGTGATTTGTCCCAGGATCAATATTTTAAGTTTCTTAAAATGTATCTTAGACTAGGCATCAAAGATACTTCATTCATTTTTCTTCCTGCAGTCTCTACTGAACTGAAAAAAATAACTTTTATTTAAAATAAACTCTTTTACTGTCTGCTTACAGTTAGGTTTTTATTTCATTTGAGGATCATGCCCTGTTAGGTTTTTTGGGGGTTGTCTAAGTACCCAGCCTCTGAGAGGGGAGCATGATTGACTAAAGTTGGATATCATGATCCTCATGATTGACTAAAGTTGAGTATCATGATCCTATTCTCTATCAAATTTACCCAGCTCTCTTATCAAACTAAAGTGGATGACTTCCAGTGGTTCTTCTGAAACCTTTTTTTTTTTTTTTAATTTATAAAAGCAAAGAGCCATTTTCTCTCTCCTGCATTGATAGTGGTATCAGGAGCCAGTAGATGAAATGATGAGGAATAACTTCCTCGACTGCCTAAAATGGCTAGTAGAAGCCTGGCAAGAGCCTGGATTAGTTCTGTTGGAGCCATACAGCTACCTTACCACCTAAAAGCTTTTATCTCTTGAACATTTAGAAATGTCTCATATGATAAAAGAAATTTCCTTTTGAGTCCCTAGCTGAGAGAGTCTGAAGAGGGATTTGGAATCCAAGGTGTTGAGCTGACTTTGAAGCCATATTGTCTAATATTCATAAAGGGGACTGGTTAGCTAAGTAATATTTTTGAAATAAAATGCTGTGAAGCTTGAACCTGGCTTAGGAAGCTTTCTGTGTATTCTTTTTTTTTTTTTAAAGATTTATTTATTTATTCATACAGAACTGGGGTACAGGCCAGAGATGTGGAGGGTGAGAGGATTCACTAGAGACAGAGTGGGGAGCAGAACAGGCAGATCGACGAAGCACACTGCTGAGGGGAGCAGCGGGTGGATCAGGAGAGGTCTGCCATGCCATGTGTATCTCCTCCGGGGCAGGCGGGAATCGAACTCATGTGGAAGTGGCTTTAGCTTCTCAATGCTGTGCTTTAACCCGCTGTGCCACCAGGGAGGGCCCGCTTTCTGTGTGTTCTTATGCAAACCTTTCAAAGATGTGCAAGTGGCCAGAAGCAAGGTGCTGTCTTTGAGCACCATCAGAGGTGCCTATGGTGCCCCACCAGTACGCTTTTGAACTTTCCCTCTCAGTGTGCCCCACCAATGTCCCTGCCAGTATCTGTAGCTCCTTATTTAAGGACACAGCTGCTCTGCCTTTTGGTTATGCACAATCCTGCATAAGTGAGTTTCATCCGTGAGAGGTATATATGTAGAAGAGAAATCATTAACTTTCCTAAAAAAATCTTATAGGTCAGGACAAGTAGTGGTATAATTCTTTTTTTTTTTTTTTTTTAAGATTCATTTCTTTATGAAAACAGAGCTAGGGTACAGGCCAGAGTTGCAGGTGTGGGGAAAGGATTCACCAGAGACAGAGAGTGGAGCAGAACAGGCAGATGGATGAAGTACACTGCTGAGGGGAGCAGCAGGCGTCAGGAGAGGTCTGCCACGCCATGTGGATCTCCTCCAGGGCAGGCAGGGATCGAACTCATGCTGAAGTGGCTTTAGCTTCTCAGTGCTGTGCTTTAATCTGCTGCTCCACCAGGGAGGGCCCAAGTAGTGTAATTCTAAATAACTCATGAGTCATAGAATAAATTATAATGGACATAGAAAATAGAAAGATATCATAAATTAATGTTACATTTCACATTGTGGGTTGCATATAAAGTGTAAGTCAGTCATTATCTTGAAAATTTTGTTTCATTATCATTTTTTGACTGATTCATAGGACCTTCTAAAGCTATGACCCAGCACTAGGAGTATCCTACTTGAATCTTCAGAATAGTACTGGGAACGAAATGCATAGAGGAAAGCAGATGAAATTCAAACTAAATATATAATGGATATGAACAAGATAAAAGTAGTTATTTTAAAATAATAAAATAGAAAAACCACAGGCCCAATTGAAAAGCAAAAGTAATTTTTGGAGAAAATGAATATACAGATAGGGAACAGATCAAGAAAAAGAGGGAGAAGCTCTTAATGATTTTTATGTTAATGTATTAGAAAATCAATAAACTGGATAATGTCTGAGAAAACATAAATAAAACTTACCTCAAAATAAGAGAGAAAATCTTAATGGAACTATAGTAATCTTTAACAATGTGGACATATTAGCTAAAATAATAGGAACTAAGAAACAGGCTGGGTCTAGTTCAGAGTAGGTTTCTATACTGAAAGCTGCCTCTTTCTAAATTTGTGTTACTCAAGAATAAATATCTAACAAATATCTTACTGTTTTTTTAAAGATTTACTTATATATATATATACAAGGACTGGGGTGCACAAGTCAGAGATGCATGGAATAGGAAGATTCACCAGAGACAAGAATGGGGAGCAGAATAGGCAGATCTACTGAAATAGACTGCTGAGGGGAGCAACAGATAGGTCAGGAGTGGTCTGCCA